ACTTTTCTTGACTGACTGGTTCTAAGGTGGCTCCCCCAGCTCCACCCTGTCTAAACATGCAAGTCCTCTCTTGACTCACCGGTCTTAATTGTTTCTAAAGTACTTGCTCCATTATGTGTGTTCATAAGTGATCTCACCGTTTGCATGCCTACATATTCGTTCCCAGCACATCTGTCAGGCGTGTAAAGTGGAAGAGGCATGTGGTCAGAGACATACTTATTCCTGACCCACTGTTTATTGGCTTTAAATAATTTGAATAGCTCATCTAAGCACTTTTTGTAAAGATCAAATGATAGCTCTGTCCTTCATAAGAAGGTCACTGGTACGTAGGAGATGCCAAATGAATGTCACTGCTGTCTTCTCCTTCTTCCTTAGAGTTCAGAGTTATTTACTGAACCCCTGCTATGGATCAAACCCTTTACTTGGTGTTGAACAAACACCAGTTAACAAGGCAGAAAAGGTCTCTTCCCTGATGGAGCTCACCTGCTATGGGGTAAATAGAAAGGGAAAAAGTAAATAAATTGTATAACTGAAATTAAGATAATTTACTTTTGATTAAAAACGTTTCATTTTGATGTGGATGATAATAACAAAATTCTGATTAAATACAAGCCCACTTCCTTTATATTTACATTTCACTTGAATATGAAACCCTGAAGAGATTAATTCCTTATGTGGACACTGCAGGACATTTTGGCTTCACACTAAGGGCTTGGATATGCAGCAGGCACATTCTCTGCTGACCACATTTCTACACAGGACTAGTTTGAAATGCGCTCAGTAACTATTTACTTCATTGAAGAAAAATCACTGGAAGAAGGAGAAATTGATTTTTATCAGTTAGGATCTTTGCAGGCAGGGAAGCATTTAAGTTCCGTTGTATAAGGTGGAAGGCCTTGGAAGGCCAAATCCATTGTGGAATAGGCAAAAGAAAGGACTTTGTATCCTAGGGTAGCAAGGTGCTCATGGGCTTCCTTTTCTTGGAATGAGTAAGCAGGATATTTTCTGGTTGCAGACACGACCTCAGAGCAACAGTTCTGAAGGGAGGGAGGGAGGGAGGTGGGGATGGGTGCCTGGCATGAGTCTTTGGAAAAACTCCTCGGGAATTCTGATAGTCTCTGTGCTGAGAAGCATTGTATGGTGTTTGGTGACTGTCAGACTGGCTTAAAGAAATCAGACAGCTAAGGGCAGGGTGGTGCTTTCTACAGTTCTGAGCAATGATATTGCCCATCCTCAGCAGTGGGAATAAGCTGAGAAGAGAGGCTGAATATGATGCGAAATCATCACTTTTTTAAAAAAGAAAGTAAGAGAATGTCGCATCTATCTCTGTTAAAATCAAATGGCAGTAAGGCAGTTCAAAGCAAAATGTATTATACAACTGAATTACTATCACTGTATCAGTTAGCTATAGTTGCATAAAAAAAAATCACACCCAAATGTTTGAGGCTGAGAGCAATGTGTGATTGTTCTTACTTTTGAGACCACAGGTCAGCTCACTGGTTCTTTCTGGACCTCTGAGTGCATTCATGGACCAGTTTGTCTGTGGATTGGAAGCCAACACTGCTGACCTTGGACATACTCTCTAGCATGTGTGGGGTTGGCTGAGGTGACTGGTCCTTCCTCACGTAGCTTACATGTTACAGATCAGGCTAAAGTGGGCTTGCTTTAGAAGGCAGTGGTGGGGTTTTCAAGTGAGCGAACCTGTGCAGGTCTGTTGAGGCCTTTGCTCCGAGCTGGAAGATTCTATAGCTGCAACCAAGTTCCAAATGCAGTCTGGATTTAACAGGCACGGAAGTAAAAACTTCCCGATGGTAGATGCAGCAAAGTCACATTGCAAAGAATATGGACATAGGAGGGTGAAGACCAGCTGCACAACGACTTTTACAATCATGACCCTGCAACAGACCTTGAATTGTACAGTAATCCTCGCTTACCCGTGCAGGATACATTGCGAAACCCCCAGGGGGTGCCTGAAACATCATAGCGCTGAACCCTACACATACTCTGCTTTTTCCTATCAAGTATAATTGTAATAAAGCTTAATTTATAAATCAGGCACAGTAAGATAGCAGTAACTGACACAGATTTTAAAATTATAATATACTGTTGTGAGTTATAACTTGTTTATTCTGAGAATTTTTCCATTAATGTTTTCAGACTGCAGTTGACCACAGGTAACCAAAACTCAGAAAATCAAACCAAAGATCTGAGGGAGTTGCTGTGGTTATTTATGTTCTTGGACAACACTGAGTCCACTTTTCTAGAAGGAAGGACTGTGTTTGATTTGCACTTCTGGATTTTGGAGGTGTCAAAGCCTGCAGTGTGCTAAGAGGCATATTATAAACATACTTAATAGAATAATTTGGGTAAACTTTTCTGGGTTGTACTAAGCGATAGGTCTACATGGTGTCGGGATAGTGGTTACTGTTTATTTTTGCAATTGCATTTTTTATGGGTTTTAAAATGTGCTTCATTAACTGAAGGGGTTCCCTTTTAGTCTTCAGTTAAATTCAAGAAAAAGGTTACCATAAGTGATTTGCATGCTGGCTGGCATTCCTAAAACAGTGGAGCGCTTCACTTTCTCTTGATCTCAGAGAGTTTGCCTTCTAAAGCCGCTAATGAAAGATGAGAGCAAGAGCATGGTTTTTTATAGTCGAAGAACATTTGTTTCTCTAACAAGGTAGTGTCAGGACTTTGTTCCCTCTCTAGGCCTTTTCTTTATTTTCTTACACTCTAAAATGTAGAAATAGCCTCAGATGTAGCTTTTGCAAATCACTTCGTGTTTTTTGTTCCGTATCTCTGGGTAACCTATATTTTTTCCATCTCCCAGTGTCTCTAATAAAAAATCTTGCCCTAAAATGAGTCTACTCCTTTAAACAGTAGTGTTAGTCATTTACGTGCTAAAGAATGCTGCCCTCTTGTGTCGACAGAGGCTATAGTAAGAGGTGAGCAAATTTACAACGCCAAAAATGCAGCATTCTATCCCAAGGGGATTTTCTACCAGACAACTTCCTCAAGGCTACCAAGTACGGTTGTACGGTTTGAACACTGCAAAAATACACCAGACCAAGAAATAAATGAATACTTGTTGAAAAGTGCCCTACAATTATTCATCAAGCTTCATATTCTGTGTTGGGGCTATGACTTCCGGGAGATGTTATTCATTAAAATTTCACTGAAAGATGCCATCAAGTCTTGTACCACCTGGAGACTCCAACTGTCTGTCCTTTACACAAACTCCTGTAGAGCCTAACTAACATCAGCCTTGTGGAGAAGAAGCTCATGAAGTTAGGGGAATATTTCTCTCATCGGGTAACTTTCCTACTCAGAAATTAAACTTAGATCGCCAGAGCTTACAGACTTCACTTAACCCTAGGTTATCTCAGAAAGAAAGTAGGACTAGAGAGGCAGAATGAGAATTGCCAAATTTGATAGAGGAGTGTAGGGGTGAAGGCCTTCTTGTTCTCAATGCATGGTTAAAGTTTTTAGCTTAAAGCGACCTCTTTATTGGGCCCCACCCTACCTTTCCATTCCAGCTATAGAGTAGATGAACAATAGCATGGATCGTGCTGGTGAGATGATTCAGTGGTTCACGAATGGATATTTTTTGCACATTAGTAGAAAAGTATTTGTTTCAATGTGTTTTATTTGGGGAAGCAAACAAAAACTTTAAACTCATGGTTCCTTAGACATTGATGTATATGACAAGGTTAAATATTTTAAGTTTGAAAAGGGGCTTAAAGAAAATTATTCAGTAATACCTATGTTAAAGAGCATGATTTAGCTCTTCACAATATATATTTATTAAAATATTGTGCTGTATATGACAAACGTATATAGCTTTTACTTTTCAATTTAACAATAAAGAAAAATATTAAAGTTTATTTTATTTATTTATTTATTTATTTTTGGTTTTTCTCCGGTACCGGGAACCGAACTCACGACCTTGTGCTTGCCAGGCAGGCGCTTTGCCGCTGAGCTAAATCCCCAGCCCAATTAAACAGTTTAGACAGTGCTCAGATATGACAAAAATGATGAAAGTGATATATGGTAGAGGTTTGAAACTATTTCAGTCTATTCTGACATAACACCTAAAACAGAGTAATTTACAAATAATAAACATTTACCACTCATGGTGATGGAGGCTGTGAGGTCCAGGATGAAGGTACCAGTCAGTCCTGGGCCTGGGAGGACCCTTTCCAATACACAGCAGCATCTCTGTGTCCTCACATGATGGAAAGCGCTAGCCAGCTCCCTTGGGCCTCTTTCATATGGCCATTAATTCCCTTCATGAGCATGTGCCACAGTTTATCACTTTGGTCCCTTCCGACTGTCTCCCTGGGGGCCTTTCCTGTCATTTCTTTAACCGTTTGTCCATTACTGTTACTAGTGACAGTATCACCTCTTTTCTGGTGACAGATGTATCTGATCTCTCACCTTCACACTCACCCCAGCATAAACTGCGAAACAAGCCTAACAAAAAGACTGTCTCCACTGATTTTCCTATGTTGCCTCCAACATTTGGTCCAGGAAAAAGGTCCTAGTTTTAAAATCAGGTCCACTCTTTTACATAGAGATGTTTCCCATTTATAGAAATCATACAGTCTTATATAAAATGTGTCCAGCTGAGACCAGTAGAAAGAGAAAAAAGTGAAGACATCCAAAGTCTTAATTATCCAACAATAAAGCCTGCTCAGACCTTCCCTAATTAAAAAGTTCTACAAAATACTAGGGCCTATTTATGCTTATCATTTTAGGAACTTGGAACATTCCTGCTTTGATGTATTTTTGAATCCCAAATCATAAAATCAAATACTCAATATTGGATTCACCTCTATAAGTAACACAAGTAATCCAAAGCTGGGAGAGCTACTGCAAATCAAGGAGGATAATAAGTAATACTTTGCAAAATGCAGTCTGTATGTGTAGCTCTGTGCTAATGATGATGGTTCAGTATTGCATGTGTGTGTATGGTAATTCATGTATTTGTCTTCCTGTAGGGTTTCTGGAGTCCCTGGATGACTTTTACATTCTTAGTAGTGGTTTGATATTGCTGCAGACCACAAACAGTGTGTATAATAAAACCCTACTAAAGCTGGTGACACCCGAGTCTCTCTTGGCTTGGCAAAGAGTTCGTGTGGCCAATATGATGGCAGATGGCGGCAAGAGTTGGGCAGACATCTTTTCAAAATACAACTCTGGTAAGTCATCCTGCGGACTCTCTTGCAGGCATGTGCATATACTTAACCTTTCAGTTGTTAACCGTAGAGCCACATCCATGTATGTTTTTGTGTCTTTCAATATTTCAGGCACCTATAATAATCAATATATGGTTCTGGACTTGAAGAAGGTGAAGCTGAATAAGAGTCTTGACCGAGGCACACTGTATGTTGTGGAGCAAATTCCTACATATGTAGAATATTCTGAACAAACTGATATTCTACGAAAAGGTACCTTCTTCATGCTATGTCTGGAAGTCTGATGAGTGTGTGTATGTATGCTGGGGGAATGGGGGATGGGGGCATGGTGATAGGGGAGGGAACAGCGTGGAGAATCACACATGGTGCCGTCACTAGCTGTGCTGGGAAAGAATTGCCTGGATCAGCACATGTGAACTGACACCTCCAATGCTTCAGAGACCATATGCAAATGGCAAACTAATTTCTCTTGTCTCTGGTATTAACTTCTGTCCTGGGCTCTTGGCCAGAGCTTAAGGTTTTAGTTCAACAAGTATTTATATAACACTATTCTGGCTCAGGGACAGAAAAGCACGGACAGCCGTGCATGCTAGGACCTCAGTAGTTAATGGGATTCATCAGAAAGAGTAGATTTCAGGAGTAAGAGAACAGCTCAGATATCTAAAGCCCTGGAATCAGTGTCTGGATTTGAATCTTGGTTCCTTAAAACTGAGGCAAATTATTCAAACTCTCCAGATCTCACTTTCTTCATCTGTAAAATAGGACAGTCAAGGCGCAGGTCCACAATCACTAATCTGCAGTTTTGAAATCCCAAAACCGTAAGCCAAGGGTAGTGGCACTGTAATAAAAAATGCTGCCACCCCCCACCCTGCCAGTATACTTCCGTTTCTTAGGTGCCCAGGTCTGGTTGCTTCTAGTCTCTTAGAAATGGCTGGTCATTGTGATGCATAGCTGGTCACTATCATGCACATTGTATAAACCAATCCCAACTGACAAGCAGTTCTGCCTCTATACTTCCTGCTTGCCTATCCTATATAAGCCCTAGACCACCAGAGATCAGGGTCTGATATTCTGGGAATGACTCCAATCAGTGCTCATTGACATAAATAAATCTGCCTCCAAATCCTGGGTGTCGTTTCAGTATTTCTGCTTGCCATTGTAGCACATGCCTCAATCCGTTATTTGGGAGGCTGAGGCAGGAGAATTGAAAGTTTGAGGACAGCCTGAGCCAAGACTCCTGTCAAAAGACAAAAGTCCTAAACTGTATGTAAAACCAAAAGTTGTTTTGGTTCTAAATGACTTAGTCACAAAATATGACCTGAACTCATTTGCAGCAAAAATTGCCAGAATGGCCCTAAATGAATTCAAGCTTTTTGTCATTCCTTTTAAAGATACAATTGATACTACAGTATCAGTCTTTGATTATGAGCCATGTGAGATACTCCCCACAGAGAACATTTTATTGCATTGTAATATACATACGCCATTGCTATAATTAAAATCCAAAAATCTCTATATTCTGAAACTCTTTGGTCCCCAGGAATTTTTGGACCTGGGAAAGTGGAACTTTACAATTTCATAGGATGATATGGCTTGAATCTAGTTGTTACCCCAAAGCCTTATGCAGTCATAGGTGGGACTTTTCAGAGGTGGCTGGATCTAGGGCTCGTGCTACTGAGATCAAGGAGTGATGCTGGCATTGATTCACCGTGTGATGCTAGGATTAAGGGAGTGAATGCTAACCACCCTAAGGGCAGGTGGCCTGGGTAAAATACAAGGCACAGAAAGAGCTGTGGTCTTCTCTTGCTGCTGGTCACTTGCTTGTGCTTTGGCTGTGGTCTGTCTGCCATGAGCTATTTCTCTTCTGGGATGCCCTTCCACTATGCCAACCTGCTTTGGAGCCAACTGATTATGAACTCACACCTCTACAAACTGTGACCCAAAATAAATCTTTCTTCCTTTAAATTTGGGTGTCAGATATTATTTCTCAGCAATGAGAAAAGTGAACAAGACAGTCATGAATCAGCGGAGACAGGTGGTTGCTTGTAGCAAGCATCTCTCTCCTAAAGCACACTATTATTATTACGCTCTTAGCAGCTGACTGGACCAGCCTTAAAGGTCAGACAGCAAGGTTCTCAGTTTTGAATTGCTATGCTAACCAAGTAAACACCTAATGATTTGGCTTCACTGATTAATTTTTCTACAAGGAAAGAAGGTAGATTTCCTACTTGGTAGATATGAATTGGTTGATAGCTGTGATTCCCATCTTTAAAAAGTCTGTTTGATAGTAAAGTGTCATGTGCATTTAATTGGTCCAAGTCTTTCCGCATTGAGATGCCTCATCCCGGAGTCATTACAAAATCAATGCAGAGACCTGGGAAACAAAATAAGGTCCTGATCCCTAAGGCCCACATTTTATTATGGTTTTGTTCCTATTATCTATCACCTCATCTATTGCAGTAGTCTCCGAATTAGTCTCTTTTCTTCTCTTCCACCTTCACTGTTTTCTCTTGTCAAAACTTTGCATTTTCTAAAGAACAAAAACTAAACTCCTGAATAGGGTTTACATTTACAGCTTCATTTTCTGTGCAGCTTCACTGTGTAATACACACAGGACAATTTTCAAAATAAACTACCAGTAATTTCTTTTGCTCCCTCCTCCTCACTCTTTCATCTCTTCCATTCCGAATCAGGATACTGGCCTTCCTACAACGTTCCTTTCCATGAAAAAATCTACAACTGGAGCGGCTACCAGCTATTAGTTCGCAGGCTGGGTTTGGACTACTCTTATGACTTAGCTCCACGCGCCAAAATCTTCCGGCGGGACCAAGGAAAAGTGACTGATATGGCATCCATGAAATATATCTTGCGATACAACAGTATGTAGCTCATTTCTCAAGAATTTATTCTTCAAAACTCCTTTTCTTCCCCATGAATAAAAAATCAATGTAAGTTTATTAGTTCTGTACTACAGAGAATTTTAAGAAGTTATTTAACTAGTGTTCAATTAATACAATACTCAACACACTGACTTTTGATTTCCCTTATGAGATTCTACAGATTTTTTAAATGAAAATATTACATGTAAAACACAAAGAGGTAACCCATGCAGCCCCTATTCCCCCACCTGCCCCCACAAATTTTCTTCCAAGGACAAAAGTAGTTTATAAAACAAAAAATTCGTCAATGCTTTATTTTTAATGAATAATGTTAAAGCCAAATTGGTACTTTTTATTGGAAAAAATGATGCACATTTACCTTCTCTCTTTTCCATCCACTCCTCACTGTGCAAGGTTCTTGAAGCAGCCTGGACTTCAGAGGATTGTGTTAACTGCTTCTCCCTAATACTAGCCAAGTGAGATATCTATCTGTGAACAATCTAAGCTGACGAGGCCCACAGTGCCATACTCTTAACAGACTCCAAACTCTTCCTGTAGCTAAAGAGATTTTAGAACTGTCAGTAGTCATTCTTCTCCCCTTCATTTTGTTTCCTAGATTATCAAGAGGACCGTTACAGTAAGGGTGATCCCTGCAGTACCATCTGCTGCCGTGAGGACCTGAATGAAGCTAACCCAAGTCCTGGAGGCTGTTATGACACGAAGGTAACATGCAACCGAGATTTTTTCCTTTTTTGGTCCTGGAAATCAAACTCACAACCTCGCAATTGCCAGGCAGGGGCTGTGCCGCTGAGCTACACCCCTGCCCTCTTCTCCATTTTTTGAAAGTTTCACTGCATAGTCCAGGCTGCCACTGAATTAGCTATGTAGCCCAGGTTGGCCTTAGTTACTGCAGTATTGGGATTACAGGTGTGCCCCATCATGCCAGGCTAGTAGTTTTTAAATTTAATTTCAATCAGCAATTAAGTCAAAAGCACAGCTAGAGAGATTTTCTTGGCATAAGGCACAAGGATGTCTCTAACCATCAACTAAATTCAAGAATCAGCCTTTCCAGAGACTCTGGTAGTAGGTTCCTATCTCCCACTTGCTGGTAAATCCTATAATTTTGTAATGTTTCCATTTCCTCATCTATGAATGGAAATAGTAGTTACCTGACACAGTGATGAATAAACCTTAGTATCTATAAAATGTTTAGAATAGTATTTGTGTGTGTGTGTGTGTATATATATATATATATATATATATATGATGATTGTGATAAATTCTGCCAAAATTCAAACATTACTGAGAACCATGTGATTTCAAGCTAATCATGACTTCAAATTAACTGAAGAAAGTATTGGACCAGGTGTCCAAAGCACTAAGATTTCTCCCATTAGAACTGGTAACTGCTGTAAAGTCCTATGTAATAACAGGTTTGCAGTGGTGTGCTAAAGCTGGCTCTTATGAACTGGAAGTCAGCTGACACTGTGCTGATAGCTTAAAAACAGTGACAGTGGGAGGACTTACACCATGGAAATCAGCAAACATTACAACTCAGGGTCCATGTCTTCATCAGAGAACTGGTTGATGAATTTACCTGCATACCACTAGACTTCGGGTGTCCAAAGTTAGCCACTGGTTGGTGGGATCATTGTATCGCATCCTTCTGCACTTTTGGCTAGGGCATGTGCCCCATTGTTTGCATTCCCTGTCCTAAATTCTGGAAGAAATTTTTAAGAAGTAAACTATTCTTTAGCTCAGAAAATAAGAGGACTTGCCAACACCACCGACACTTTCATTACCAGCCTAATACCTAAATAGGAGATACTTTGGCATGACAACTTTTTCAGCTATGTGAGGATGGCCAAGTTTTAGTCTAAATGATACTCAATGTGTTAATTTTTTAAAAAGTGACTGTAAGAGAACCCAACACCCGTGAAGCCCCCAAACCATGTTCTGGTATTTCCTTCTTTTTCATTTTTGCATTCAACAAAGTACATGAAAAATGCTATATTCGTCCCAGAATATACCTCTGCCGTCCTGCCTGGAAGAACCCAAGTTCATCTGTCAAATTCTGTTGAAGGATATACGTTAAAAATATCATTTCTCTTTTTAGAGTCATTTTGAGTAGAAGGTTTTCTTTTCCCTCTAAGATTATGATCTGCTATCAGTGGGCCTCGCTTTTTGATACTGAGTTCCTCCTACTTTAAAACGCTTGTTACGGCACTGAGTAACTTCTAGTCTAGGCACTGCTCTCAGCACTGCTTTCCTTCTTATAGCAATTCTACGAGAAAACTGAATCATAGAGGGGTTAAGTGATACTTAACTAAGTGTTGGAGCTGGAATTCATAATTCTGCATGTTATCAGACTACAGCTCTCACATGTAGTGAGATAAAGAACAAAAACTAAACTGAATAGGGTTTACATTTACAGCTTCATTTTCTGTGCAGCTTCACTGTGTGATTGCACACATGACAATTTGTCTAAGATTTACGCACACTGTAATATACTAGTCAACTGACATTTCAATGCCAAATGGATACAGAAGAGCATTTAATGGAAAGGCATGAGGAAACCTGCAGCACGATTTTGCTTCACAGGAGGCTAATGTGAAATACGGGGGGGGGCAGGGGGAGGGGAAAGTTAAAAGGTCATGCATTTAATCAGGGGTTCCAAATGGTTTCCTAAAATGTGCCCCTCATTTCTCTTTGTAGGTGGCAGACATCTACCTAGCATCGGAATACACAGCCCATGCCATTAGTGGTCCCACTGTCCAAGGTGGCCTCCCTGTTTTTCGCTGGAACCGTTTCAACGAAACTCTCCATCAGGGCCTGCCAGAGGTCTATGACTTTGACTTTATTACCATGAAACCGATTCTGAAACCTAATATAAAATGAAGGAGGGAGGTGAGGGAACAGAAACAGCTATAAAGATACCAAAGACCCTTACTTTAGCTATGTTTTTTTTCCATTCGAATAAAATAAATTCAGTTTGTCACTTTCAATTTCTGATTCTTTTAAACTACATTCACTGGTTTTTCTGCAGGACAAGTATTACATATGAAACATAACAATACTAGAGTTCAGCATGCAAGCTAATATACAGAGGGGTAGAGCAGGAACTCATTTATCCAAATCCATTCTTCTCTTTTTCTGACTGCAAGATTATATCACACAAGGTCACTTAAGCAGCTTTGCCACAAGACTGAGTTCATACCAATGTTATTGGAGATTAGTATCAGTTTCAAGGTCCCTAAGAACCTGTGTTCTTTCCATCTTTTCTTCTCCTTCCTCTGGCTAGATATGCTTAAAATAAAGCACTTAGGGACTGTGGAACTATGCTTTCTAGGCAACCTCTAAGAGAATGCAGTTGGTGATTTTTCAGGTCATCAACAGGCAGGCATCAGTTGAGTCTTTGTGGTGCAGCCTAGACAAACAATATAGTAAATCTTACTGTTGTTTCCATCAGTTAAAAGCACCATATCCAATGTGGCAGCAATTCTGCGTAACAACTGTTCTTTCAAAAGCAGACAATTATATGTGGTTGGAATGCCAAGGAAGTACCACATAGATTACTTAAACCATACTATACAATTATATAATGGGTGATTCCAAGCAACATGGGAGATTTTCAAAACAAAAAGTATAATAGCTGAGAAAAAAACAGAAGGAATCAGAGTACTCAGAATGTTAAAAACCCATTCGTTTATTTCAAAGTATAAATTTGAGGCTTACTGGACAAAACCCCACTACAGTTAACACTTACATAGATACCACTCTACTGTACATGAGGGAGGGAAGGAGGAAGGGAAGGAGGGAGGGAGGGAGGGAAGGGGGGAAGGAGGGAAGGAAGGAAAACAAAAATTTTCAAAACTCAATAAAAATAGGCAACTTGCTACAGCCCAGTTAATATGAGACATTAAATTGTCTTATTTACACTTTCAACTGCAATGAACAAAAAAAATCAGGATGCAAGTTTCCTACAAAGAGTTTATTTTTATATTTAATTTTGCAATTGCTGATAAAATACTAAATCAAGATACCCAAAGGTGTTTGATTGCCCAGTTACCTTATGTACAAGGGAAGAAAGTATTTAAATATAAATAAGTACTTAGTTGACTCTACAAATAAAAAAATAAAGAAAAGCTTATTTTAATGTGATAAAATTATTTGAAGATGAGAATATAAAATGTGGTTGTACTATCATATTCCTTCCTTTGGGGGACCAAGGAGATAAGAGTTTCAGGAATTAGGTAAGTCTGCCATACTAACCTTCCATAAGAATTGCTGATTGTGTACCTCAAAACCCAAAAACAAATGAAAAATCTGCCCAGTAACAGTCAAGGGAGGCAGAATCATACATTGGTTTTAGATAGTTATTTGCAATAATGTAGTAACTAGAACATAGTTTTTGTGAAAATAAGAGTAAAACAGGCCAGCCACGGGTCAGTAATAATACAAACAAAACAAAACAAAACAAAACAAATAATCATGATATACTGAGGATACTGAAACAACCCCAGAATGAAAGTCAGGGCAGAATACTTGAAAGGCTTCTGCAGTACCCTACTGTGTTAAGATCACAGTACTGTAGATAGAAGTGAGTGATGAGACCACAGGCATTGTTTTGTTAACCTTAATACAGTATTGGGAGCATAGAAAAAGATAAATGTGTATCATGCAACATTAACACTAACTTTGTTGCATAATAATTTGGAAAATTTTTAAAGCAAAAGAGCAAGTAACAAAAATTAACACTTATTTAATGCTGTAAGAGAAAGTTCTGCAGAGAGATGCACCAAGGTAAGCGCCTAACCTCCTTGCTTTAAGTTATTTTACTCAAGGTATTTAGTATCAGACAGTGAGGACTAGGGAGAGAGGAACATCTCTCTGGGAGGCAAATGGTGTCTCAGCAAATATTCACCCTTCAAGGAAGCTCCCTACTCTCACAGTTATATACTGTGTAAAACAGTATAAATCATTCTGCATATTTCAGAGTCCAGAGAAATAGAGGAATATAGTTACTTCATAAAGATAACTATTAACAGATACTGCGCCTTTATATGTCATTTTAAAATTTACTAACAGGAACAAAATTTTAAAAAGAGGTTACTCACACTTAAAACAGGGTGAAAATTACTCTGACATAGTGCAAAGTAGTATCAAATGCTACTGTTACCTTTAAATGCCATATAAACATCCTTTATTTCAGATGGAAATAATAGAAATTTCCAAGATTTCCAATAAGACAATACCTACACAAGTATTATCAGGCTAAATATGTAGCAAACTTGCATTCCCAAAATGGGATAATTGAGCTTATTGGTAATACTCTGTAAAAACATACCATGAAATTAAAAAATAAAAAAAGATAACCATGGAGTGTGAAATGCTACTAAAAAGTGTGAATCCTTCATTCTCTCTCCCAAAGAAACTAAACAAACTAGTATTCTTCAACATTAAACCTATCCCTCCCCCTCCAAAAAAGTCCCAGCATTCTAGTCTAGCGCCTCAGTAAATCCAACATATCTATTGCCCATAAATCCATCTTAGGTGAATTTGAAAAGACCAACCAATAATGTGCTTTTGTGCTTAAATAATTACAATCTTTTTCTACCTTCCACTGTCTGGAATAAAAGTTTTATGTAATTATTTTCTGGAATAAATGTTATTTTTAGAGTTCCTCTTTTTTCTATTGACAGAAAATAGCCAATACAGGCTAAAATAATAAAAAATATTCATTCTACTGGGCTTTCTTCATCTGATTATATAATGCAATTACATTTTTAAAAACAAGATTAGTATAGTGAATATTAATAAAAATGTTCTTTAACAAGGGAAATTTTTGTATTTCCAAGTAAATAAATCTTTACCATTTGACCATGAATGAAACCAGCCAATAAACTATTGTGAATATGAGCTTTCTATTCTGCAGACCAGAATGATCTTTACCACATAATCTACGTTACAACCACTGCACGTAAAAACATGTATACATGCAGATATAGATAGGTGTTCATACATATCTTGAAGTCAATTTTCTCCTTTTGAAATTTTCATTATCATAATAGTGGGAACTTCTTACCATGATTTGCCCCAGCATGAGCAGTATCTACATGGTTAGGAAATTTGATTCATGGAGAAGTAATTCTCATTGTCTCAAAGTTTTGAGAGTGAAACGAAGGCTTAGAGAGTTGACATTCTGGCAACTGTTGACATCCTCTATTATTGATCAAACCGCACACATAAAATAACATACAATGATAGTAAAAAGTCTCTAAAGATAATTTTACAACTAGAATAGTACTTCCTATTATAAGCCATCAAAGTTGTAAACTAATAAAAGGAATAGCTCCCAATTATAATCCCAGGAAAAATAATATACTTAGAGAAGACAGAAATATAAATTCAAAACACCAAGGGAAGAAAGTTGAAGTTATTTCACAAACTCCATGAATACCTTTCAAAATATTCTCAACCACACTCATCCCTAAAACTTAATCCAGCCCTCCTGTCCCAAGCTATCTACACTGAAAATACCTACCTGACAACCAGTATAGCTTGCATTCAATATTGAAAATGTATGAATGAATTTTATGTCTTTGAGGAGGAGTAGAAATACACAGGTGGTTATACCTAATTGTTACATGAAAGGGCCCCAACAGATATACTTTAAATGTGATCCAAAGCAGATGAAGGCTAAATCAGGCTCAGCTTGGCACAATCAAAACAGATATAAGATTAAAAACGGGGTAACATGAAAAAAAAGAGGAAACACAGCTTTTTCCCCTTGGTACATTAGCTCACTGTATTTTGTGAACTTTACTATTTTCTTCCTTTGAAAGAATACTACATAATGGATGATAGTGTTAAACTACAAGTGCTTTAGAAATCCAGTCCAGTATGCAACACGGATGCTGAAACAGGTCTGATGGAAACTTACGGTTTTCTCTTGGTCCACTAGTCCATTTTATGGATTGTTAAATAATGACCAAAACTGAAAGTTATCTACACACTTAGAAGAAAATGGCAAGTCAAATGCAGTGGTACCACAGATTTGGGGTAGGGAGTACATAAAGGCCTTGGTTTAAAAATTACTGGAGAGGTATGTGCCAAATATAGTGGACATGAAAAAGGAAATTAAGATGGAAAGGCTAAAAGGGAAGAGTAAACAACAGTGTATGGCCATGTTTATTTCTGTAGTTAACCTTTAAGGCACAAATAAATGTATAAGCCAGATTAGGAAAGGATGGGGGGGCTGGGGATTTAGCTCAGCGGTACAGCGCCTGCCTGGCAAGCGCAAGGTCGTGAGTTCGATTCCTAGTACCAGAAAAAAAAACAAAAAGCAAAAAGCAAAAAACAAAAAACAAAAAAAAGGAAAGGATGGGGTCAGGGTTCTGCAGATTGTTTTTCACCTAACACCCAGAAGATGTAAAAGAAAAAAATGAATAGATCCTCTCCTGTGTTCAAATTAATCTATTCTAAACTAGCTGTTTTGCTTTTTATTTACTTCTTTGGGTTTTGTTTAGATTCAGTTTATATCACTTAATTATGATTCTATAGAAGCCTTATCAGAATCATGCCAGTTACATACCTCAGAATCTTTGATCTGCTCACTTCATACTGAAAGAGAGGTAAATTTGAGAATGAAAATGGGAGATTCCACTGCAATAAACACATAAATAGGAAAAAACAAACAAACAAACAAAAACTATAAAACACCCATACATATTCCCCGGACTCGTAACTAAAAGATGATACACATTTATATTTCAAAACCCTGAAGCTTGAATTGTCCAGGAAAGATTGTTGCTTTATAGGCTGAGTTTATTCTGCTTCTGGTTATAAACAAATGTAGTGTATACACACATCAGTCCAAGAAATCTTGCACAATGTGGATTTTACATTGGGTATCATCATGCACAAGATTAAAAACAAGACTAAAAAGTGGAACTTCTGAAACAGGAAGAGATAAAGGCTCCAAGGTTTAACTGCTCTGGGAAGAAGAGATCACATCAGTTGACTGAGGATCACAGAAAGGTCCAAAACGTCCATAAATATCCTTGGCTCGGACTGCGAAGTAGTACTTGCTGCCAGACACAAACTGGGTAAGAGTGCATGCCATGGGCAAGGGGAGTGCCTTCACTTCCCCTATCTTCTTCCACTGTGAGGGCACAGTGGCACTGGGCTCCTCGTGGTAGGCATAGAGGTGATAACTATCAACAGCAGCGCAGCTTCGATCCACCTCCAGGACACTCCATGACAGTACAATGCCATTCTGACTCTGAACTCGTGCTAACTTCAAGTGTGGCTTCTGAGGCAGAGATGTGCTGGCAGCTTCTGGGGGCAGACGCTGTGGCTGTGGGGCTTCTGGTAAGGGTGCTGGGTGCACAGGGCGCGGGGGCTCCTAACAAAAGAAGAACCACTTTGATTTATTGTGGTCACAGAAAGGACTGTATTAGAATGCCAGAGTTATGGCGCCTCACAGGTTACACAGACATATCGTTTTACATTTAGAATTCTGGGAATTAGCAAGTACCATGACAGTTATGAAGTGGTGCTTTGTAACTAACCATGTCAAAAAACAATAGTGCTGAGGCCATTCCTACTAACTTCCTAGACTTAAAATACTGGCATTTTCTTGCCAAATAAAAAGCCTTTGCTGATGGAATATCATTGAGATATTCAACAGATATGAGAAGTATCAATGTATTTCTAAGAAGAGATTCTCATTTTAGTACAGCATTTTAAAAAGTCATGTGTCGCAGTCTATCACATGAAATTAGGGGTGCATAACTGTACTTTCATTTTAAAACTGTTTTGCATTATAAATACAGATTACTCATAACTAAGCACATTAACGCTGAATGTGTATTATGTTCTTGGTTAGTCTGCATAAAAAAGGTAATATTTAAATAAAGTTTGAAAGGTAGGCCAGATGATAAAAACGCAAGAGACGCACGCCACCAATAAAGACACATACAGACTCAAAATCAAAGGACAGAAATGGTATTTCAAACAACTGGAAACCTGAGGTGAGCAGGAGTAGCTGTACTTGTAGCTAACAAAATGGACTCTTAAGACTAACCTGTATGAAAAGCAAAGGAGTCACTCACTACATAATGATCAAGGGATCAATTCAACAAGAAAATATAACAATTATGAATCTATACACACCCGAGGTCACAACAGTCAATTTTATAAAACAAACTAGCAGACCTAGTGGGACAGATAGGCTCCAACAAAACAGTAGGGGATTTTGACTACTTTCATCAATAAAGATGATCAAGAAAACAAAACACCTCAAAGTTGAACTATACTATAGATCAAATGGACTTACAAGACATTTACAGAATACTCTGTCCAACACCTTCAAAATACATACTTTTTTCATCATCATATGGGACCTTCTCTAGACGAAATTATGTCTTAGGCCAAAAAACAAGTCCTAACAAATTTTTAAAAATTGAAATCATATCCTCTGTCCTTTCTTCTAAGAAAAAAAAGTCAACAATTGAAACAAAATTTATAAATTATACAAGTACATGAAGACTGAACTACTACTGGATGAACAATAGTGGACCTTGAAGAAAGACAAGATGGGAAGTTTAAAAAGCACTCAAAAGCAAATGAAAATGGAAACACAATATATTAAATCTTGTGGATATAGCAAAACCAGTACTAATGAAGATTATAATAGTGAATGCCTAACCAAAAAAAAAAAAAAAAAAAAACCAAAAAAACTCAGTGACTTCAAAAAGCAACAACAAACTAAACCCAAAATTAGTAGGAAAGATAGCCAAGAGCAGAAATAAATGATATAGAGACCAAAACAAATAGCTGGTTCTTTGAAAACATAAAACTGCTTTAAAATGTACAAAGGTTGTAGATTAGTGATTACTTGAGACTAGGAAGGATATAGGAATATGGAAGGTGGAAAAGGAGCTTAGATTTTATCAATGCATGCATGGAAATACAGTACTGGCCAAATTACTGTATTTCCTGCCTCAAAATACTTTGTTTCCTAAAATGAGTTAAATCGCTTCAGTAAATAATATTTTAAAACATAGTTAACAAGATCTAAGAGAAAATGGCTGAAACCACAAACTTTGGGAGTAGCACAGGAGCTTTGCTTAAACGGTCTATAATGTCTTTTCTAACTGTTAAAGTTTTATGATTCAGAATCTGCTCCTAGTTAAGTCACATGATTTTTTTTTGTTTTTGTCACTGAATGGAGCTTTTTATTTCAGTTTGACATATAATACAGTATGACATCAAATTTGACCTAAAGTGTATGCTTGAGTTGTGGGAATAGTAGGTGGCAGTACAAAGTAAGGTTGTTTATGTGTTGATAAATGTTAAAACTGGGTTGTGAATATGTGAGAATGATCATACTACTCATATGTACATTTGAAAATATCCATTTAAAAAGTTTTTTAATTACAAAAATAAAATTAAAAGAAATACTCTGGTGAGATACAGTTTATTCAAACCAAGGAATTTTATTTTTTAAAAGATAAATTTCGATAGGCTAGATATAAAATTTGTAGAAATATACTATAAAGTGTTTTTGCTATAATGGTTTTTGAAAAAATAACGAACAAAAACTTATTTGAAGCACCAGAAAACCACAAAAAAAAAAAAAAAAAAAAAAAATCCAGTAGTAATGGTATGTTTGCCATATGCCCCAAGTTGAAGCACTGCAAATACTCTGGCTGCACTGAAATCATACCACATGACCTTTAAATGGCTCTGATACCAGCCTGTGTAAGTAACAATCAATCACCACCTAACATTCTTGTGACACTGGGTACTTGAGAGTACCTAGTACACAGTAAGTACTCTACTAATGATACTACTTTATTTCACTGCAGTAGAATAAAAATAGCACCTGCTAAAAGCACAGGCTTTTGGAATACCTAGGTTCTTGTGAGGTATGGCCTCATGTTGATTACCCAATCTCTCTGAACTTTAGCTGCCAATACTATTTTTAAAAAGATCTTAAACATTCTTCAGGCAATAGTTTAAAAGGACTCTGTGTAAGGACCAAGTATATTAACAATGCTTAGAACACAGTAAACACCAATTAATGCTAGCCATTATTAGTAGTACTAAAAGTTGTTTTTATTAGATAATAACAGCCTCGATTACTCCCCCCCCCGCCATAAGTCAGCATTTTCCTTTACAAGACATTTCATAACAATCAAATATTGTCATAATCATGTCACAATAACATGACATCATTTTCGAGGCTAAATTATAAGGACAAACGTTTTGTTTTATCTCTCCTGTCTTAAAAAATGAACTGTATCAGTGGACCATTTAAACAATATAGCAGTTAAAACTGGTTTAAGACTCTGAATATTAGAATATGGAAAAATAAAAAATACTCATGAATTTAAATATGGGTTAGATATGGTCTAACTCACTTTATTTGCCCAGCTGCAGACCTATTTTTATACAGTATATAGCACAATCAAACTAAACAATCATCATCCCTAGGAACATTTATTCATAACGATATTCATTTTTTAAAATAAATTTCTAATAGAAAAGTAGAAACACCTATCTATTATTTCCCTTTGATATTACTACATTAAAGAAAAATGTTAACTATAAAAAATATCTGACAGACTTCTGGGAAGATGGTGGAGCAATAAGCAGCAGTAGGTCACCTGAGATTCAGAATCTAGACATTGGAATATAACAACTTGCAAAAGAAAAAGAGGAGGAGAGTACATCCCTGGGATCCAGGAAGGATCTGAAAGGAGAACTGGAGCCCACAGAGAAAACAAAGAGACAGACTCCAATGAAGAAAAAGGAGGTGGAAAACTACACTTTCTCCCTGACTCCGAGTGAGAGAGAGGAGGCTCAAGTCTATACACACAGCGAAGGTGGGTGACTCCACAGAACACACTGAGAAATGTACCAGGGGCACAGAGCAGTGGGTGCTGTGAACCACAATGGCTGGTGAGTGACTTCAGTCTAAGCATCCCCTGGAGAGGGAGCTTGGCTAGGTGCCATTTTAGCAAGGGGCGGACTGAACCAGGGACTCTGAGCAGCCTTGGGTTGGTTTCCTCTCAAGTCCCCTAGTGACTGGGAGAGGCACAACCACAGGATATATCCAAGGTCAGAGAGCAGAGGTCAGGCGGGCAAGAGACACCCAGAGTGTTATTGGCTGAACACTTCTGGTCCCACCCCACAATCAGGCCAGGATCAGCTTGAAATTCTGTGGAGTTGAAAGCAACAGAATTGGCACCCTGCCCTAACCCTACTGCCAGCTTGCTGGGATCATCCAGGAACGATCACAGCTCTCTGGTCTTGCCTCCCTTCTCTGTAAAAGACAGCAGAGACATGCCCTGAACTGGGCAGTACCACAAAACTGTAGACCCAAGAAGATAACCACAGGCCTGAAATCACAGAGAAATCTTCCTTCCCCCTTACTTTTTTCTCTTCATTATTTATTTTTACTTTCTCATAAGTGTGAACATTGTTTATACTATTTTGAGTTATATTTAGATCTTCTTTTTGCCTTTTCCTTCTTTCTTTCCAGACTGTCTTCATCAGTTTCCCAAAGCTTGGATAATCTATCTTTATCCTTCAGCTTTGTTTCTTTCTAATCACTTTCTCTTCTATTATTTCTCTATTTTTTCCTCTTAAGCTTTGAAAATGTTCTCTCCTAAAAGTAAAATTGCTCTACTGAGGGCGCATCCACTGGATGTAATTTTTGGGTTATTTTAGATTTTGTTATGTAACTGTAAATCTTGTACCCATGGTTTAAGGTGGCAAACTTAAGAGTCTTCATGGTTTATCATTTTCTACACTGTACTTGATACTGCTGTTCATACTGACTGCACTACTTTACCCAAGGTGACATAGTTGTTGTGAACAGTTGTTCTTCATTGTGTAACAATACTAAGACTGTCTGAAGGTAATAAACAATACCACAGTTCAGCACCAAAGAACTAGGTGCTAGGCCAAATAGTCATCAACTTCTCATCCCTAGTAAATTAAAACAGGCAGGTATCTTGCAACAGACTCAAAACCCCAAAGCCAACTACACCCAGAAGACACCTCTGAAAAGTAGTAATTTCATAAGGGTTCTAAATATTAGCAATAAAGCTGCTCACCATAGGCAATTTGCAGGCACTAATCCAGGAATTAAAATTTAAAAAAGAAAATGACAAAATCCTTATCCACAGCACCACAAAAAATTGATGAAGTTAAATCATGATTCAGTACATCTGTATTCAGCAGAGTACCTACATACTTGTGTTACATCCCCATGTATTTGGAGAAGTGGTAGAGGAGGAAGGATTGTTTGGAACCTTGCCTTGAGGCTTTGAAAGATAACCCATTATTAAAGATATACTGAGCTAAACATACTATACACAAAACAGCAAACAG